TAATCACTATAATAGAATTTGTGATATACATACAGAATATTCTATTAATGATAATATTTAACAACAGCAACAACAATAGTACTTACTGTTTACACACCACTTACCTTGAGTCTCACCCTGTGCTAAGGACTTCTTATGGGTTATTTCATTTCCTCTTCCCAACAGCCCTTTGAAGGAGGCACAGTTATACCTTTGCTTTATGGATAAGAAAACTGAGAGTCAGATGGATTAAGTAGCTGCACAATCAGACACATAATATGTGTTAAGTCAGAGCTCAAATTCAAGTCTGCCCACCAGCAGGTCCCACGTTACCAAGCTTTTCACAAAAGCCTTCATTCCACCATCTAACTCAGACTAATAGATAGAAAAAATTCTGAACCCAATGAGACCACACACACACATCCTTTCAAGTTTTATTTATATTTCTTAGTTCAAGAATTACACACTAGCCAACACTATTATATATTTACATGCTGAAACTGACTGTAATAAGTTTAAATTCAAGAAAATAATTCTTATGTGCTACTCATTTATAATCCTCATTTGTTACTATCTCATGTATCCCAGAGATTTTAGTAGTCCTGTTTTTAGAAAGACATGAAAATAGATGCAATGATATCCATGTGTGTTCTGCATTTTCTAGCCATTGGAAAATGTGCATTATGTGCATATTAAGAAAGGCTACAAGGTAATTAGTAAGGCTGATAATCACTACATTGTGAAGAAACTAGAATATCACCTTTTATAAAAGGACAATTCAGAACTGTGCAGGGACAATATTCATAACAGAACTATTTAAACACCCATGCAAATAAAAATAAAAAATGTTATGGAATTTAAATTATTTGCAACTTTGAATTATGTGAACAATGAGCATGGCTGAACGCAAATTATCAAACTATAAAGGGAAAGATACAAGTTGATTGAACTGTCAACCTGCTTTGGACAGCGGAAGGACACACACACGGTCACCTGATTATTGGACGTGTGACAGGAGACATTTGCTTTTGGAAGTTAAAAAACACAGTTTTGTTTTTCATCACTGTGGATCATATTTGTTTATCACAAAAGAACTTCTTGAAGCAAATTAATATGTGATGTCAAAACGTTGCATATATCTACAGAAATGTTTTACTTCAATATCCAAATAACAAACAGATGTTTAAGAGTACTGCTGCTTTTAAGTATTGTGTTCTTAAACGATTTCTTCAGGGTAGTATCTTAATTAGCATCATGTTGGCTCTTTACTATTTTTGACAATGTTCCTAGTGTACTTGGAAAATGTCTTTTAAACCTTTGGTGTGAAGTGTCTTTTTTTTTCAATTTTCCCTCGTTTTTCTTTTTTTCTTTCCTTTTTTGTTTTTTAAATAATTCTGGAGTCTTTGGTTGAAAGGAAGAATACTATCTAAGGACAAAATACTATTATTTTAAAAAAAGGTTCTCTAGTACGCATTGTGTGTAACAAATTTCTGGAGCAAGTATGAATAATAAGCATTTTTACTTCCTCTAGTGCCATCATATAAACTTTTACCCTTTGAAAATTGAGATTTAAGTTATAGCCTTTGGTTTCTTGAACTCTGACACATAAAAAACCCTTTCAAGTAATCAATGATCATTTCTGCTCTTCCCAGTTGCCATTTCTAAGGCTCTCTCTCAGGCATTACATTCACTATGTGAACACTATGTGTTTCCCAGAGAGAGAGCAAGAGTGGGAGTGAGCAAGTGGGCAAGGGAAAGAGAATTGTGTTTGAAAGTGTGTGAGTGAGTGTGTGTGTGTGTATATGAGCGTGTGTGTGTGTGTGTGTGTGTGTGTGTGTATGAGATAGCAAACTGAAACCCTTCTATCTGGGATCGCAAACCATTTATGCCAAAGGATGTTTAAATTACTCTGTTGGGGCACTGCAGTAACTGTACTTAGTAAAAAATAAATATTAAGAAAAAATTAAACAATTATTTGTATCTATTGACTATTCATTTACAGCATGTTAAATTATTTACATAACATTATAACACATCAACTTAAGCCATAAACAGGATTTGCACATTGCCTTACCATAAAATACAAATTAGAAGTTAAAAATATGTAAGAAATCTGTTTTAATATTTACACACACTCAGTGAACGTCATGGTTGCTCACATTACATGGACTCTGTACACTTAGCAAAATGGCATGATTGCTACAGTTGAGAGTATTTGCCCTAACCAACATGGTGGGGTTTAGCTGTTTTTTTTTTTCCCTCCTCCTAGAAGGATTTTTATAATCATTTTCTGTTTCCTTAAGACAGTTTTGTTTTTAAATCACCAATGGACAATGTTATCTGTTTCCTTGAAAAAGAGAGCAAGTAGACAAGCAACGCGAGAACTAGTTAATTTCTGATGTTCTGAGGTACAGTACAAATTGTGCAATGGTTCATAAGAAGTGTAGGCATTGATTCGCTGATAGAGAAATGCTCAGTACCCTGTATCACTTGTTTCAATATGTTGATTTGTTGGTTGCCAAATTAAAAATATTCAGACACTGGTTTAATGAAGGAAATGAAAGATATTAGCTTATTCCTTTTGTTTTCCAACATATGAATGTATATATATGTATGTATGTTTATATGGATATATATACACATATATACATGTAGATTGTTGTATGACCTGTTGTTAATTATTTTGCTGTTTTTGTTGTTGAGTATGAAGCTAATCATAAAACCAGAACACAGTTATCTATAGAAAATGAAAATTGTCTGAGATGCCAATTTAATGCAGGTTTTGCTTAAAATAAATGTGATTCATTTCCCCATTTTGCTTTCCACTGAACTTTCTCTATGTGTTGTGCTTTTTTAAGCTGGCAGATTTTTTTTTTTTTGTTCCTAATGCTAGAAGATAAAGTCTTTTGGCTCCTAGACCATTTTTATTATCATTATTTTTAACTGAGCACTGCTTTTGAAGAAATGGAAGAGGAGTGGTCTAGATGGCCCTGCTATGTCTTTTCCCTTTTGTAAATTGCAGTGGAAAAATGGTAACATTCCCTATGCAAACACGTGATTATGTTGCATGAGTTTTCAGTTCTGAAAATGCATTTCATACCTACTAGCAGTCATGTACAATATATATTTACAGGTTGAGATCAAAGATTTCATTTAGACTGTGCATTTTAGAGTCAGAATTTGCCTATGAATTTCACAAAGATGAAAAACACCTTAATTGCTGGCTATCTGGTTGTTGTTTAATCAAAAGACAACAATATGTATGTGTATAAAATGATAGTAATAGCATGTCAGAATTGCCAAAACGCACTTTTGTGGTCCTTAAGTTTAACCACTGGATATCAAGCTGACTGGTCTTTGTGGACTTAAGAGGTCTAACACTCCTTCCCAAGTGCCCCCTCCCCCAACCCAATTCGACCAGAGTAAAAATGTAGTTTAAGAATCAATTCTATATCTACTGTTGGTTACCTCTGGGCAGGATGAGTCAGTTGTTTCTAACTACATGGTTATTGAATGCCGCCATACTGATTGCTTTAGGGCATCTGTTCCAAGGTCCCATCTTTTGTCCTTTTCCTAGTTTCTTCTTAACACTGAGAGCAGAAATGAGTCCCTCGTTATATGCTTTTGATGTTCCTGCTGCGAGGTTGCTTCCTTCTACTCTGGTCTAGATTACTCTGTTTACTACTTTGGATGTCAAATTTTTAAGTGACAATATCAAGGATTTTTATGGCTTTTACAATAATTGCAAATAAGAGCCCACTTCTAAACTTGGGCTCTGAGTTGTCTCTAGAAAAACCATTCCAGAATGGCATTTTGGAGTTGTGCCCCTGAGTTATTAATATGCTCCTTCCTGATGTATGCCTCAGACTTTAACCCCGGCGACAAGAGGCAGGCACTTTTATCAGTGATGCCCCGAAATCATCGCCTCGGAGAAAGCGCGTCCCTGGAGAAACTTGAAGAATCTTTCCTCTGAGCCCCTGGGCAGACACTTAGTTGGATTCTGCCCAAAGATCATACTCAGAAGTGTTCAAGCGTATAATCAAAAAATAAGGGCCACAATCCCTGATGCCAGTGGGGAGCAAAAAATACTACTCAATCTGGAGGCAAATTCACAAAGCTAAGGACTCAGCTTTTTTCTTCTTCTTCTCAGATACTTGGAACAGAGGGCAGTAGGACTCCATCACATTCCAAGCAGCTAAATCATCAGGGGAAAAACATAACATTTTATCCATGCACAGATACTGGCCTTGGCTACTACGCACAATTAGGAATATCACTCTGAGAAGAAGTGCTTTTTGTTTTTTAAATAGAAATAGCAAAATTATCCTATGAGAAAAAATTCAATCAAATCAAACTTTAAGAAAAATTTAGCAATTTACTATTTTCTCCACGAACCTCATATTGATAGAAATAAAACATATTAGCTTATTCTCTTTACTGTCCCACATATGGACGTATATGTCCAATTAGTATAGGAAGCACAATGACAAGATTTAAAAATTGAATAAAAACAGCACATTGTGCCCACCTGATTATCAGTTAGATATTTTTCTGCAGTATCAACTGAAGTTCATAACCTTCATCAAGTTAATGTGGCTTTGTTGTTATCCTGTTTTCCACTTGTTTGCATATTTTCCTTGATTAGGGAGATTGCAACATATGCAATGAAAGCAACCTTAAAAAAAAATCAAACCTAACAAACCCACAAACTAACTCTACTTGTGCACATAAGCTTTGAAGTATTGCTTGCTATGAAAAATGCCAAGGTGAACTTTATTGCACATAAGGAAATAGAGTTCACTCAATCTCTCCAAAGCCTTACTTTTTCTGTCTTCTAAGAATATAATCAGAATTTCAGAAGCAAGAAAAGCTGGGAAGAACCATTAATCCTTTAAAGAAATGAACAAATCCTTCTTTTGAAATACCCTATTAAAGTCAGAAATAAACTTACAGGGGAAAATGCTGCAGAGACAGCAGGTGTGTGAAAAAAGCAACCTGTTTGCTCACTCCGTCTGTGCTCTGTATTAGTGCACTTGAATAACTCTCAGTCTAACCTACTTCTAAGATAATTCTAATTTGGCTAACTTTTCTGTTTTGTGGATGTTTTTTAATCAGATAAACTATACAAGCCTCTGGAGGTATGCTTTCAAAAGTTTGTGAAGTTCGGAAAAAAAAAATCTTTTATTCTACCTTTTGCTACTGCTCACAACTTGTATAGACCAGATGCTGCGTGGGGCTGTAAGGGTCATGGTGCTTGCTTGCTTTAATTTTGTTACAACACTCATTTCTGGATTTTCCACTCCGCTCTGGGTTTTCAACTCTCCTTTTAACCACCTAGGACATAGTGTTTTAAAAAAAATTTCTTTGGCCATCATGCGTGATAACGTTTAGAATTCTCCTGATCTCTAAATGGCAAAATGGAAGACGTCAGAGCTGATTCCCAGTGCTCAAGCAATCTGAAATTGGCCAAGTTGGTTTCTTGAATGTCTGTCTTGACTCCTTCTATCCTGTTTGAACTACACGAGAGAACCTTCTAGAAACCAGTGGGAATTACCTTCCCACAGCACCATCATCACCATAATGAGACAGGCACAGACCACCATCCGTAAGTGTGTCCACGTGGCACTGGGGACGATGTTTCAGAAGCATGTGGCTGCCGCCGCAGCAAGCTGACCTTAGGAATGACGACGGGAGAGTCTGGACAGGACCACTTCTCAGCGAAGTGGCTGACCATGCCTGTGAGCCTTCTAAGAATATCTTCTAAACAACTCCCCTCTGCGTCGGCTGCATACTAAGCACAGAAAGTGGAACACTGAGACTCGGTCTTGCCAGCATGTGTACAAATCACTTGCGTTTTAACTGGAAAACCACAAGGACCTTCCTGCATTCATTACTTAGGAGAAGCAACCCCAATGGCATGAAATGGACCACAGGATAGGCCAGCAACTAAGGTATTTAAGCATCACTTTTGTCCTGGGTTGATGTGTTTTCCAAGTCCTATGTCAGGCTGTACAACTGGTTTGAGGAGGAATCTAGTCCTTGCTTCCCGCGAAAGGCTATGTTTTAGTTCACATAGTAAAGCCAATAGACGATGTTGAAGAAGGAAAAAACCACTGGGAAGAATATGCGGGACCACCGGTCTATGGCATTCACATCAGTCAAGTCGGGGATGGTGATTTTCAGTTGGGAGGCGCGTCTCCGCAGGCGGCTTTTCTTCTGCGCCACGTGTCGTTCCAGCGCATTTCGGCCAAAACTGTGCCGGGGCAGCCCGGCTTTCCGATACTGGATGCCGGAGGCGTCATAGGCCAGCATGGTGCTCCTGGGGTCCCCAAGGCCCATCACAGCCTCAGAGGTGGCCATTTCATTTTTTATCTCAAGGGTGCTCAGTAAGATGTTCTCATGTGGGTCCATCTACATGGGAGAAGAATGAAATGAGACAAAACAGTAAGTCTTTACTGATGTTTATTATATAAGGGCGCTATGACACATAGGTTAGGTAGTACAGTCTACCCTTGAACAACATGGTTTCTAACTGTGTGGGTCCACTTGTACACGGATTTTTTTTTCAATAAATATCCACACTGTTTCAGTCTGAGGTTGAGAGTCTGCAGATGTGGAGGGGCAACTGCATACACTGACCTTGAGATTTAGGGGTCTGAAGGGGTCCTGGAACAAATCCCCACAGTTACCAAGAGACAATCGAAGTTCTGGGGAAGTCAAAAGTTAGACATGGATTTCAACCATCCAAGGGTCAGTGACCCGCACTCCCATGTTGTTCAAGGGTCAACTTTGTATTTATCATAGTGGCTAAGAGAACTGGCCTTGTGCTTGCATTATCTCAAGGTGAACTGTGGTTCTGCCACTATATGCTTTGTGAGTTTAAGTTTCTTCATGTACCACATGGCATGATGATCTAACCTTAGGAGATTGCTATAATGATGTAATGATATGATAGGCTGCTGCTAGTACTATTTTCATTTTTTCTACTTAAGAAATGCAGAGAAATAGAAGGCATGATGCCCTTTAAAGAATTTATAGTCTTAAAACTAATATATAACATATTAAACTGTACTAGATATAAAATAATATTAGGGGATTAATTACAGAATTTCAGTGCTCACAATAGGAGCCTAATTACAGATGAATTCATGGTAAAACTGGAGCTAAAAACAGTAGATAATATTTATTAAGAACTTGCTATATAGGCCAGAAATATTTTTGTATAACTTCATTTCATTGATGCTTCTTAACACCCACAATTTCAAGATGTCACCTTAAATTTGCAGTGTCAATATGAATAAGAGAAAGAAAGAATTTTTAAATGCAGGCAACGCATGACTTGCCAAAATGCAATAGAACTCAGGACACTAAGGCACTTGAAAATGACAGCTGGGCAGACTGTCGGGGGCAGGGTGGCGACTGCATGGGGGGTGAGGGACTGACCTGAGAAGGAGAAAGGGGAGGCAGAGTGTGAGAAGAGTCAGCCCACAGCTGGCTGTGCTGAGTTGAATTCTGGGCCCAGGGAATAGAATTAAGGTGGCTCTGCAGATAGGCTGACCCTTTTCTCTCTTGGATGACTTTTCCTTGGCCAAGCTAAAAATAAAGGATGAGTACTGACATCATGAATCCCAAAGATTAAGTGATGTGTAATTTTTTTTCTAAAGAGGGGGTGATTTGTGTGCCTTATTTTTAAGAGGTCTCAATGGCTACAGATAATAAAACCTATCCACAACATGTTATTACTAATAACAGGTTACATTTATTTTGGTGGAGACTCAGGATATACCAATTTCCAATAAAATTTTTGAAATTACAAAATAAGAGAAAAATAGCTCATGATAGGTACTGATGATACATGGAAGCAAGAACTATAACCAAACACTTAATTGGAAGATATAATGCCCTGGGCTTCATGAATTATGCAGAAGGCAGGAAGAATGTTGCTGAGATGATATGCTATCAATTAGCTTTCAAATTTGGTTTAATGATGCTGTATTATAAATTCAAATCTGAAATCTTTTGAGAAATAGAGGCTATAAAATATGTTGGGACATAATAATTGAGCAATTAATCTCTGCCCAATGATCACACATTGTGTATGTTTCATTTATGGTAGTATTTTGCTTAGAGGAAATGTTAAACAAACATACTCTTAAGAATAATTTTAAAAGTTTATAAAATTTGGAAATTAAACCCAGTTAGTGTTGAAACACTTCCATCAAGCGAGGGCTGAGTAACGGCCGTTATGATGGGTTTGGCGGCCCCGCCGAGGAAATGAATACTGAGAGCCGCATCTATGTGTCAGCGCTTTGCAGAAATGGTCTGACTGAATGCTCAAAGCCATCCTTTGTAAAAAAAATTTCCTCCCTAGGAAATTAGGTTATAAGTGAAGTCATTCACCAAATTTCCAAAGTCACATAGTTATTAAATGGTGGAGCTGGAACTCAAAGCTTAATCATTTGAGTTCAGAGTTTGGGGGAGAGGGACGGGACTTCCCAGCATTCAAGGAGAGTGAAGCTGATGGAAATGGGAAACCCACTACCTACCCCTGGTTATTTCAGACAACGTGCTCATTTTCTGTCCTGCTCTGGGCTGTTGACTGTTATTTTAACTACCTAAGAAATGGCAATATAGCACAATTTCTTTGGCTACTATGCATGTTGATATTCGGGAGATTTCCCCTCTCTAAGTACCAGGATATTTGTTTTCCTATTGAGCAACTGTAATAAGAACATTTATGAATATACACCAGACTTGACTGGGGTAAAAACATAAATGTATAATGACAATCATAAAAAAAATAATAGTAGCAGTGGGTATTATTAAGGGGAACTTGTTCTAAGTATAGAACAAATGATTCCTGAGCAAGTTGTGTACTTTTGGTGAGTTTCTATTTCATCACCTATGAAATCACGATTTGTCAGATGGGATAATCCCTGAGGCTGTATTACTCATTTACTTTTTCATTTACAAATTTAAAAAATATTTACTGAACACCACTGTGTGTCTTGCATGGCGCCCAGTATCTCAGCTGCATTGGGGCGAGGCGGGTGGGGGGACGGCACGGCTGCTGGTCCCCAGCAGCAAGTCCCCAGGAGGAGCGTGGGACTCAAGTCCCAAGAGTGGACCTCTGGTTCCTCTGTGTGTGTGGGCACGTGTGTGTCTTAGAAAAATGATTTAATCCCTCTGAGTCTAGGTTTCTTTAACAGTCAGAAGAGGGTTTGCGGAGATGAACGGAGCGGGGCTATGTGGGAAGAACGCGGGAAACAAAAGCGCTATGCAAAGCTGATTGTTATGAAACGCTATGAATGCGGAGGGTATATACAGTTTCCAGTGAGGCGGGAAAACAGTAAACAGCTATGCCAAAAAGAGAGGTCCGTACGCTGACCTTGCCGTATGTCTGGAACAGACAGGGCGATGAGCTTCTGGTAGGCAAACACCACAGGTGTTCGCAGGCTGAAATGGCAGTGCGGTCGTGGGGGGTGAGGCGCCTGCGAATGACCCCTCCCCCACGCGGGCCGTGTGCACGCCCATGAGTCGGCTGCTCCCCTGGGCGGAGGCAGGGGCTTCTCGGCTGCCCGGAGTTACTCTCCGGACTCACCCATGTGCTCGTGGTTCTAATGGCAAATTCTCGTTAAGCATTTGGTTTATGACGTTTTCCTTTCCTTTTTTCTATTCCCCACCCTAACATAGTTCCCAAGAAGAAAAGAAAAATGCTTGGTTAACAGAGTTCCATTTTGCTTAAAGGATACGGCATTGAACAATAAAGAGTGAGCCTTATTTTTATACAGTAATTTTTAAACTCCAGGGCTGTTTCCTTTTCTGCACCTTTCCTAGTGACAAGTGTGTGTTCTGCAGGAATGTCCTTGTCCTATAGTCATACATAGAAAAGCAAATCACACCCCTCAGTGACCCAGAAGCATCGCAGGCTTACCCTGGGAAGGGAAAATGGGGCTACTTTAAATCTCAGCTCACCGCTGACATCATCAAAAGAAGAGTGAGAAACTGCCAAAACCCAAAAAATCTCAACTGCGCAATTTCCGATTATTGTGACTAGTGTGGGTAGGAGATCTTGTTTCATCTTCCATGAAACGACTTTGTGACCTGAGTAAATTCCAATGTTAAGGTGGTGGACTGTTAACCACCTGGGAATATCCAAAGCATTCTTTCCAAAGGAAAAAACCCTGACACTAGCTTATGCACTCAGTAGTCTAAGAGGAGAAAGAAAGTTCACCGAACTAGAATATGGCATGGAGATTCCAGGAGAGCAAGAGAAGGCCACCAGCTTCGGCTTTTCGAGTGCCTCTACCAAAGTAAATGGAGAAATAATAACCAAATATGGGGTTTAGAGTTGGAATGTAAGTATAGGAGAACACTGTTGAAATATCCAGGTAGTTGCAGGAAAGTGGCCATTTTAAATAAAAGCCAGTAGAAATAAAAAGGGCTGAGATTATTGTTACTCTTTTTTTTGTTTCTATTATGAAATATTGCAACCATATTATGAGGATGGAGTTAGTAGTATTAGCATTTCATAAACAGCCCTTTCCATTGAAACCTGGCAGTTCATGGGGAGCTAAAAGCTAATTAACTGGTAAAGCAATAACGTAAATTTTTGTTTGCAGATTCGAACCTTCAATTCTTTCTACTAAATATTTTCACTCTAGGGTGACCTACCGATGATGTGGACGCCGGTGGCCGTCAGATAGGAACAACCTGGTTGCTGTTTGATTTTCGATTTTTTAATTCTCATGGGTAGATCATATTAGTACGTGGCTCAAAGTTTTCTTAGTAAAATGATTCCCTATTAAAGAATCAAATTAGTGAGTTCATTCATTATGCATCAGTGACCTGTGTGGCCCTACTTTATTAGTCATTACAAGGTAAAAATATGCTGCTTCAGACACACAGAAAACCCCATTTGGCCCCGTGGGTGAATCAAATGAGCTTGGTGAGGTTTTAAGCTATTGTTGTAGTGCATGATCGTGAAGCATTTTTCTCTCCAAAGGATCCCAGAAGGTCAGGTTTTTTGAAAGGCCACGATTAGCACAGGCCCAGCAGCGAGAAGGTGCTCGGTAAGCGTGAGCTGTCTAGTCATGGACATGCCTGCTCTTTCTGGTCCCGTTCTTCTGCGTCCCTGCTCTTCTAACATCCAGGAGCAGAGAGGAGGGACTGTTGGCTCCAGAGTTTTCTGTGCTTGAACTTCCTAAGTACGTTCTCTCTCTCTCTCTCTCTCTCTGGCTTAATCTTTTCCACTCCTTTTACACTCAAAGAATCAAACTGATTCTAATCTTGGCTTATGCTGAGCCTCGGTACCCTTCCCCTAGAAAACCTAGGTGGACTCAGGGAGGTTTTGGCTAACTCCCTTTCCCAGCTTAAACCCTCCTGCTGTGGCCGCACAGAACCCTCAGTTCCCTGACGATGGCAAACCTAAGGCACTGTATCCCGTTGCTACGTATCCCTAACACTGATCATGACAGTGGGAACCAAGTAGTATCCAAAGTACAGCTCGCTTACAGAAATTTCTGAGAGGATTACAGGAGCACACGGTCTGATCAGGCTGTGGAGATGTAATGGAAAGCGGTGAACTAGACCGAAAAACGCAGGCCTGCCTGAAGGACGCTTAAATCCAGATTTTACAACATCACTAAGAGTGGCCAAAATCTCACATATCTAAGCACTCAGCCTGCTGCATTACATTTCTTTTAGATTTAATTTAGAAAAAAGTTTGCTTTTCAGTTCCATTTAATGTCTAATTACTAATTACTTAAAAAAAATGTGTGTGGAGTAATATAGGAATGATGGATAAGGAAAATTCGCCAGGCAAAAACCATGTGGCCTTGCAGCGTCCTTGAACATTGCGACCCTGATCGAGCAGTTGTACTGCCCTTCCCCCCACGCAGGGCCTTGCTGCAGCAAACTTGACAGCGTCTCTCTGTGCTCGGGCTGCCTAGGGAGACTTTCTCTCTGTCTGCCTGTCTGTCGCTTCTTTTTTGTGTGGCTTAAATCTTTTCCATTTCTTTTATACTCACAGAATCAAATTCATTTCTCTTGGATAATGATTTCTTTCTATGTGGAAAGTATGTGGAATTCATTAAGAATAATATACTCACAGAACTACAGATCACTGATCTTTTGAAAATAATGTTTGGACTGAGATTTAAGGATGAATGTTAAATTTAGGAGAAAGAAGAGCACATTCAAATGGCTATATATAATAATAAAAAGTACAATTAATAAAGTATATGATAAATTGGCTCTTTTCTTTTAGAAGGTTGGGAGAATTCTGGTTTCTTCCTCTTGATGTAATAAAATTACAAGCTAGTAGTTCCTCCCTGTCCCTGCCCCCCACACCTGTTTTTTGCTAGTAGTTGCAAATAAAGTTCCAAGTCAGGAGTCATTTTAATTGCATGGGACAACCATAAGAGGATCATACTGAAATCCCCATGGAGGAAAAAAAACTGAAAGAAACTGCTGTATTTTGCCGTGTACAATGGCCCCTCATGTTTTAGTACTAAGTCCCATGAATAATTAGTAATATACATGGGACTTCGTACTACCCATGTATAATGCACATCCTTATTTTTCCCCTCAAA